AGAAAATCAAGATATGTGACACATGTACCAGCCACTGTGTTCACCGGCTGCCTGCCATGACCTATGAGGGCCCATTATCTCACTTTCACTACAAATTGCGCGGCCCTAGAAAGAGTCAAAGCCCAAAGTTTCTCGAGCCGCAGTATTAGGAGTGGATGAGTGAAGTGCAGCATCTCCCATAGAAAACGAGTCACCATGCATAGTTGGGCAAGTTTACAAGAGATATAATAGTAATATTAATTTTAATATACTGCTGCGGCCCATGCCACCAAACTCGCAGTGTGGCTCTCCAAGTGTTTTAAACAGTGCTGATGCTGAGCATCTTTGATTGGAATTTGCGGAAACAGCCGAGGAAAATATTATGCGAGGTAGCGACTTCGCGTGGTGCATGCCGCGGTAATGCCGGTCACTTTTTTTTTTCGCGTGTGTATTAGCACCTTTTTTACCTTGTATTTTACTTTTGTTGTTGTGTGCTAATGTACAGTGAAGTCTCTGAAAATGGTGGAGATCGTTTTAGGGAATCAATCATCAACCCATTTTTTAAAAACCTGGCCCCCCAGCTCGAACCAATCAGCTAGACTTTAAACCGCGAGTGAACGAATATTGTTTCAGATCTATTTTCACAGTTTGTTTCAGTGCAATACCCGAATTCCCACGATCACATTCACGATATTAACCACCTCCCTGACACGCTGATTGTGCACGCAGTGGTCATGGACAAGTTTGTGTGTACAGTATCACGGTTAGTGGTGGAATTAGGAATTAGGAATTAGGATTTTAGTGGTGCTTCTCATTTGCAGCTGGTAGGTTGTGTGCATACTAGTAAGATTTCTTCTTTTCAGGCACTCGGGTTTTTACATGTTTAGCTGGTAACACCTTTCTATTTAAACGAGTAGTAGTTGACTTCATATGAAGAGCTTCTGTGTGTGTTTCTTTTTCGTTTAATAAGAAAGCCACTGTTTCTTAGTATTTAGAACTGTGTGTTCCTCTATAAGCATAAAATGAACTCTGTTGCAGGATGATTTTGGCAAAGAAAGAGTTTCATTCAGGTCACTTCGCCCTGCAGTGAATGAATCCAACAAAACGGCTAAGACGTCAGTTGACCAAAGCAGCACGGATGGTGAGTGAAGTGTACATTAAATAAGGTAATAATATTCTGAAATGTAGGTGCTTTCATTGCAGCTGTAGTGTGTGTGCTGAACAATTATGACTGAAGAAAATGTAGTGCAGAAACAGTGAGATGGACAAGCACAGAATCGTCACTATAAGCAAGCACTTTTCTCCTGATAGTGTTTTCATAACTGTTGTAGAATCCAGGTTTCATATAATCGAAAAACTAAAATTATAGGCAGTGACATTTAGCCTTGTCCAAAAAGCAGGTACAGACCGCCTGAATAAGCCCACGGCAGGACTTTGTGCCTCTAAAAGGAAGGTATAATAAATTATTCTTGCCAAGGGGGTGGCAGCTAATGACAGCATTACATAGTTGGAGGAGGTGTTCTTTGTTCGCAACTTTAAAAATCAAATCTAACGTGCTTCTTTTTACTGATAAACAGAGTCCAAAAGCTGCCTCCGTGTGAAAACAAAACAGGAAAAGCATTGGCAATGGCCTCTTGTCAGGAGAGTCATCGCTATCACATAATGATGATGGACCAGAAACTTGCATAGAATGCCTTTGCACGCGACTGAGCTGTAGCGTCGTAATTTTTTGGCTTGAGAAGTGCAATTAATGATGTCCCGCTGTTATTAATATGAGCACTGACTATTATGAATGCTGACATCAAGTGAAAGTAATTTTGCGCGATGAAAAGAGCTGCGTCGCACTTTTATGCGTGCACAAACCTGTGACTGCAAGTGCAACAAAAGCAGGATATTAGCTGTATGTCGACCAGGAAATGTTTCCACGAACCGAAGATATGAAAATATCAGCTTTTCAGCTGGCTGAAGCTACTCCGTGTGGATATAGCTTAACTAGGTAATCACCTTGAATACATGCATATGCGATCGAGGCGTATGTAGAAGTGCGTTAACTTCCAGGAGATTAAATTTTTCAGTTCTAAAACATCTTGTCTCACTCTCTCGTTTCCTAATTCTCAACCTAAGGGAACGCAAGTTCATATTTTGCACTTGTGCATATTTGGTGAACGTTTGATTCGAGTAAATGTTTTTTTTTCTTTGGGACAGAATTTGAAAGTCATCATAAAATGCGGGGCCGGCATAAAACTGCGTGTTATAACCAAGGTTTTTGATACATTATATCTATGAAAATTTTTGCAGGACCAAACTGATTCATCGTAAAATGTGGGTCGTTGCAAAACCAGGGGTCGCAAAACCAAGAGACGTATAATCTAACTTCTACTGTGTGTATATTGTATCATAGACAGGATAATTACTGGTCATTAAAGGTAACTGACTGGATTCCAAGAGCGGGCAAATGTAGGGAGGGGAAGACAGAAAATGAGTGGGGCAGATGAGATCAAAAAGTTTGCAAGTATAACACGGCAGCAGAGAGCACAGGACCGGGTTGATTGAGAAAACATGGGAGAAGCCCAGTAGGGGGCATAGTCAGGCTCTTGAGGATCATGATAATACGTATTAAGTTCAAGGATGTCTAAAGTTTTTCTAGTTCAAGTGTTTTTCAACTAGTGCAATCAATCCAACAATAGCCTTTATTAAGTGTGGTTGCAAAGGAAACTGTAACATGACATGGGGCAGAGAAAGATTTTTTGCACAGCCTTCAAGAACATATCTGTATATTTTAAATGAGAAGTATTTATTTGCAAACCAAAAACACTTTGACTCTTTCTGCGTGCCCACCCGCCTGCTCGCTTGTCTGCATGCCCATTTGTTTGCCCGCCCACCCGTCCATTCGCCGGCCTGTTTGTCTGATCTGGGATGCGATTCTTGTGATGGAGATGTCCAATTCGACAGAGTACTTCAGCTACAAAAAAAAAAACAAATCGTGACATCACGGAACATGTTGAGATGTTTGAAGAACGATGCAGGGAATGTATACCGACCTTCCAAGCTTGTCAGGCTGGTGGCCAGGTTAAATTAAATTCAAGTGCTAACAGTATTAGAGTTCATGCATGACTTCTGAGACGTGTGTCCAAAAACCAATCTCTCGAAGGGGCATTCTTGCAGTGAAATCCGTTCTGTCTTTCTCATTTGTTTCGAGAGAAGTGAAAGTTGTGTGGCGTCAAAATGACTTTGAAGAAGAAAGACCAAAAACAGGCGGTTTGCTGCTCGCCAAGCTCCAGCCAATCAGTGGAGGCCGAAGTGGACATGTGTACTTAGTGGACACCGCGAGAATAGCTCCCCTGGCCTACATCAAGGTGCTCTCGTGGTCGTTTCCTTGTCATTTTTTTGCATGGGCGAGCATTAGTTTAAGATGAAAATGATAAACAGGTCATAACACGAATAGCGTGAGTTACTTGTTGCATATGTCATGTAACTTTTTGCTTCAGTTGTCCTTGACATCCTTGGCTTCAGGCCTAGGTTCCATGGAAGCCATGGAATGCAGGTATGAGCCACAGGTGATTCTCATTTTTGTCAACTCAGGAATGGCATAACAGACTTTCAAAAATCTTTATGCAATCATGCTATGGAGCTTGTTTCGCCGAAAATGCAGGCAGGCATCAGCAGTGTTGTTGGTGCGGAAAAAACAGCCTTGTGCTAGTAGTGGTGCCAAGCTTGAATTAAGTGCAGAGCCTTTTTGGTTTCCATTGATCTTAGCATTCATTTACTTGATTATAACTGGGAAGTGTTTCAAAGCCCTCAACCACTTCCCAATACTCATCAAAACAAAAAAAAGTGAAAATCCAACCCACACTCCTCAATGGAAGCTTGACAGGGCCAATAGGGAGGAGTTTTGCAACATTAATAATATCTCGTGGGCAGACATGTCTCCTTTAAGTATTGAAACAGCTGCTGAGTATTTTACTACATTTATTATTTTACTGTTTCTGAATGTTTACCAGAAATAACAAAGGTGACAAGGGAACGTCGTGTCTGTGGAATGACAAGTACCACGAAGCTCAGAAGAAACAGCATTGGGTTATCTGTGAGATTCCCCCACAGTCTGTGAGATTCCTCCAAAGAACACTCCAGCAGGTTAAAAGAGGCAGCTGGCAGAAGTTCATATAGAGTATAAACTCCTATAGAGATGAAGACAAGGTCTGGAATAGTGAGAAGCAAGGAAGAGGTGAAGCAGCTTATTCGGTTCCCTTTGTTCCATTCTAAGACATCCTGTCTCACTTTCTAGTTTTTGAATCGTCAACCTAGGGGAACGCAAGTTCATATTTTCCACAAGGCACACAAAGGGAAAGCCTGGGAGACCAAGCTGACTCTCTGGGAGCACGCTTCGAATTCATATTGCCTTGGGGTCTTGACGTAGACGAAGGGAGCAGACTGGGTGTTCAGGTTAAACTATTTATTGGGCTGAACTTGTGGCCATGTAAAAAGAACATCAGATTACAGCGAGACACTGGCACTAATAGCGGCGAACAGAGCTCCGGCCGTCGATCGAGTGACAAGTGATGATGCGTGTCAGCATTTGTACATGTGCCAAGGAATCTTTCAGTGCTATCGCTAGTGGTGACGTAAGTTTCAGAAGAATCTGTAATGTTCTCGTTGTGGCCGTAATCCCATTGAAAGGTTCTATGATTATCTCAATGGTTCATATTCAATGGCCGTGGTTGTGCAAAACGGCACATACATGTGTTATATGGTGATAAGGAAACTTGAGAAAGGAACTGTTACATGTGTAGATTAACTGATGGCCAGGCGGTAGTGAGAACTGTGAACAGTAGGCCATCAGGCTCGCGAAGAACACGAGAACATCTTGAGCCCTTAGCCCAGAACGAACTGTTTTATTATTTCCTAAAACAGCCACCCCGCTGCTGTGCCAGGCTTGCACAGCTCAACACAACTATCAGCGCCGCGTGGGGGCGCTGCATTTGAACCAGTATTGTAACACTCCTTCCCTCTTAGGAGGAAGACTACGGGGAGTAGACATTCACCGGTTTCCTAGTTCTTGTGCCACGTCGCAACTTTGGCGTGCTAGGCGTAGGCACGACGAAGTCACTGTTCACATGCACACCCCTGTTGAGCGGAGTCCGGTCACTCTCTGTGGCACAGCTACTCCCAGAGAAGCTAGTTCCAGGTAGCTGTTCCTGATGAGGCACTTCTGGAATAACTGGCGCATGATGAAGCGGCGGCTCCAACTGTGGTGGAGCTGCAGCGTTAGCAGTTTCAGGAGAGGCCAATGTTTCTGTCTGCACAAGGCGCAAGTGGTCGCTGTGTCGGTTTCCCAAGGTGCCATCTTCAAAACGGACACTGGCTGATGATGGAGTGACGTCCACGACACTGGCAGGCACCCAGGGTGTGCCCCTGCGAAAGTTTCGCGCGTACACATCATCACCTGGCTGCAGTGATGGAGCCTGCCGGTACCCTTTGTCAGCATACAACTTCTGCTTGAGTTGTTTTAGGAATACAGATGCCTACAGGCTTGGCCTGAGGACATCCAACGGAGTCTTGAACATTCTTCCTGTCAAGAGTTCACACGGTGGCCGACCTGTCACTTCATGTGGTGTGGTCCTGTAGTGGAACAGGAACCTGGAGATCTGCATTTGGAAGTTCCCAGAACCAGACTTCTTGAGTTTGTTCTTCACAGTTTGTACAACTCTTTTAGCTGCACCATTTGAGGCAGGGTGATACGGCGGTACTAGCATGCGGCGTATTCCATTTAGAGTTAAGAATTCAAGGTACTGGGCACTGGTGAAGGCAGGACCGTTGTCTGAAACTATGACATCAGGCAGGCTATGCTGAGCGAATGCAATTCTGGCGACGAGGATGAAAGGAAGTTTCATGTAAGTCTTTGTTCCCGCAGCTCTCTGCCATCTGTTCACCATGCCAAGTTTCGGCAACCTCGAGCCATTCGAGGGGGGAGGAGACGACTGGCCCTGTTACGTATACCGGCTCAAAGCATTTTTCCTGGCAAATGATGTCGCCCCAGACAAGCGTACTGCCGTGTTCATCAGCTGCTGCGGGCCGAAAACGTATGCTTGCTCCGCAATTTGGTCAAGCCCGCCAAGCCCAGTGACAAGAATCTGGACGAGATTTATGTATTTATTTATTTACAGTACCTACAGCGCCCGCGAGGGGCATTAGTGTAGGGGGGAGATAACGATTTCGAAATGCAGAAAGGCGACAGTCCATTAACACTGAGTTGAACATAAAAGAAATACAGATACATAATAAAGCATCCAATGGTGACACGTAATAAACATTGACGTGTGTGAAGGTACAGCAGCAAGAAAAATATATATATATAAAATGCATACGCACACACATATATGTATATACATATATATACACACACAGATAAAAGCAGGCGGGAAAAAAAAAAAAGAGCTGAAGCGTAGATCGCTAGATAGATGAAACAAAAGTGTAGGCAACTTTAATGTGTGCTCAGGCTACGATAAAATATGATGTTCCAGCCCAGTGGCGAATGTTTCCCTGGACGCGGCTACAATTTCATGAGGTAGTTTGTTCCATTGCTTGATTGATCGCGGAAAAAATGAATATTTAAAAAGGGTAATTCTGGTAGCAAACTCACGCACTTTAAGGGGGTGATCAGTACGAGCAGATATATATGTAGGCTCCGATATGCAGTTTTCTTTGCGAATACCCGTTAAACCATGGAATATTTTGTGAAACAGAGATAAACGTAAGAATTTGCGCCTGTCTTCAAGAAGAGGCCATCCTAAAGTACTCCTGATTTCGAAAGATCTTTTCGAAAAGTTGTAATCACCCGTGACGAAACGGTCGATGTTCACCTTAGTAAAAGGGTCCCACGTGCTGCATGCGTATTCCAAAAGTGGCCGTACATTCGACATATACAGGATTTCTTTCAGGCTGGCCGGTGCTTGTTTAAAGTTACGTCTTAAGAAGTTTAATGTGTTGCTGGCATTTGTTAGTATGTAATTTATATGGGCATTCCAAGTCGAATTGCTGGAAAAAATGACTCCTAAGTACTTATATTCTGTTACAAGGGACAGCTGTGTTGTATTCATGACATAGCTTGCCATCAGCGGGTGTCTTTTGTTTGTGAATCTTAAGAGGTTGCATTTGGACAGGTTGAGTGTCATGTTCCAAGTCGAACACCAAGACATGATTTTGTTCAGATCATTCTGTAGCAGTTGACTATCTGATTCACTTGAAATTTCACGGTAAATACAGCAATCATCTGCATATAACTTCACACGGCAAGACAAGTGTTCAGTAAGGTCATTGATAAATATAAGGAAAAGCAGGGGCCCTAGGACGGACCCCTGTGGCACGCCAGATAATACAGAGACATCAGAAGAGCGAACACCATGAAGTATCACGCGTTGGTTTCCATCTAACAGGTATGCTTCCAACCACTTCAGGAGGGTGTTCGGCAAGTTGAGGTAGGACAACTTTAGTAGCAACAGGGTGTGAGATACGGTATCAAAAGCTTTCTGCAAGTCTAAAAAGATGCAGTCAACTTGCAAACCTGAGTTAATAAATGCTGCGATGTCATGGCAAAATTCTACAAGCTGAGTGTCGCAAGAAAAGCCAGCCCTGAAGCCATGTTGCGTTGGAATAATGAAGCTATTTTCTTGAAGGTGTGCCATTAAATTTGTATAAACAACATGTTCTAATGTTTTACAAGCAACGCTTGTGAGTGAAATTGGCCTGTAGTTGCACGTTCTTGTTTTTGAACCACTTTTGTGAATTGGAATAACATTTGCAGTTTTCCAGTCCGAAGGTAGAGCACCAACTTGAAGAGATATCTTAAACAACAGTATTAAGAAAGGGGTGACAGACAATGCACAGTTTTTTAGGACAAAATTTGAAATAGAGTCAGGACCGGTAGCCGAGTGGATGTTTATCTTCCATAGTAATAATGCGATACCATCTTCAGACAGCTCAATTTCCCTCATCTGAGTAAGCTCTCTGACGTCATGTGATTCTTCAAGTACTTGAAAGCCATTATTGTCCGAAGCCCTCTGCCGTCGTGCAGCGTTTTCGTTTCGACTCGTGCGTTCGCGCGAAAGGGGAATCGATCAGCAATTTTATCGCAGCATTAAAAAGCCTGTCCGAGCACTGCAGCTTCGGGGCTGAACTCGAAAACATGCTCCGCGACCGCGTCGTGTGTGGCATAAACAACAAGGTGTCCAAACAAGACTTCTGGAAAAACCGGACCTCACCTTCGACGATGCTGCGCAGACCGCCCTGGCAATGGAAGCAGCAAAAAGGGATGCAAGTGAGATGGCGCAAGCGAACACAAGCAGCGCTATCTCGACTCACCGTGTCTCGTCAGGTTCTGGGGGTGTCACCTGCTACCGCTGTGGGGACGGACATCTTGCATCAAAATGCAAGCATGTGAAGACAATCTGCAATTACTGCCACAAACGAGGTCATTTGGCGAAGGTGTGCAATTCGTGACGAAGGGACAGCCAAGCCCAAAGCAACAGCCCGACCAAGGCACGTTCATTCTCGGCTTGCAGTTCACCGTCGTCGAGTAACCGTCATCGTGTTAATACGGTATGCAAGCAGGACGCCGCTACCACTTCATTTTGCAAAGTTTTTGACATGTGGCAAGCCGACTACGCCACGCCGCCTCCGCCTTTCACCGTCACTGTTGATGTTTGCGGCAAGCCGCTCCGCATGGAAGTGGACACGGGGGCAAGTGTCTCTGTCATGGCCAAGTCGCATCTTCTTCAGCTTTTGCCTTCGGTTCCTGTGCAGCCGTCACAAGTGCTTCTGCGAAGCTATTCCGGGGAACTAAAAAAGGTTCAGGGCAAAGCTGACGTCAGTGTGAAGTTTCATGGGAGAGAGGCCGACTTACCTATTTTTCTGACCGGAGACGGATCGCCCACTCTTCTTGGACGCAACTGGATGCGTGAGCTGGGCATTGGCGTCTCCGATGTTGAAGTGAACATTCACGCACTTTCCGACGTCAAACACCTAGTCCAAGACTACGCCGAAGTGTTTGAAGAAGGCCTGGGTACATTCAAGGGTTCTAAAGCTTCTCTACATGTTCCTTCAGATGCTCCGCCTCGGTTCTTCAAGCCACGTCCACTGCCGTACGCCTTGACAGATGGAGTAACTCAAGAAATCCATAGACTAAGAAGAGATTCCATTCTTGTTACAGTCAAGACAGCAGAGTAGGCTGCACCTATTGTTCCTGTGACCAAAAAGGATGGACGCATCAGAATCAGTGGAGACTTTGGTGTCACCATAAACCCAGTGGCAACAGTGGAGCAGTACCCCATTCCAAGGATCGAGGACCTGTGGACTGTGCTTGCTGGAGGTGAGAAATTCACAAAATTGGATTTGCGAGATGCGTACCAGCAAGTTGTCCTTGACGAGGCCTCTAGGGAGTATATCACAATTTCGACGCACATGGGGTTATTTCAGTACACCCTGTTGCCTTTTGGTGTCTCATCTGCTCCTGCCATATTTCAGCGCGAGATGGAGAACTTGTTCAGGGGACTGCCTCATGTAGCAGTCTATTTTGACGACATTCTTGTGACTGGCGCAAATAATGCTGAGCACCTTCGCAACCTTCGTGCTGTACTTAGCAAGCTTCAGGAATCGGGCCTCAAGCTGAAACTTGAAAAATGCCATTTCTTCATGCCGCAAGTTGAGTATCTCGGGCACATCATCAGCAAGGAAGGCCTTTCCCCGAATGTTGACAAGGTAGCAGCCATTCTGCATGCTCCTGTGCCTCAGGATGTCAGGAAACTTCAGAGTTTCTTGGGACTTGAAAACTTCTACAGGCGCTTCTTACCCAATCCTTCATCGCTCCTTCGTCCACTGTACTTACTTCTTTGTGAAGGGAAGAAGTGGGAGTCGAGACATGAACAACAAGATGCATTCAATGCCTGCAAGCACTTGGTGGCATCAGCTCCAGTTCTAGTGCATTTCAACCCTGCCAGGCCTGTTTGCCTCAGCTGTGACGCATCGCCTTATGGTATAGGTCCAGTTCTAGCGCACAAAGATGCTGATGGCAGGAAACATCGCATCCTCGTCACCAGTTGTTACATGTGTAGATTAACTGATGGCCAGGCGGTAGTGACAACCGTGAACAGTAGGCCATCAGGCTCGCGAAGAACACGAGAACGTCTTGAGCCCTTAGCCCAAAACGAACTGTTTTATTATTTCCCAAAACGACCACCCCGCTGCTGTGCCAGGCTTGCACAGCTCAACACAACTATCAGCGCCGCGTGGGGGCACTGCATTTGAACCAACATTGTAACAGGAACATGGCATTGCCCCCCTTTGAAAATGACATCGTCCTAATGCTTTAGAAGATAAAAAGACAATAATAATGCAAGAAAGTAAAAGCAATAAATTACAATACAACAACAACAACAAGTACACTCTTATAACGTGCATGAAATGGCTTGAAGTGCACGACACGGATGACTTCAGGTCGTGATCAGCGTCATTGAGAGTTGGTGATGCCATCAGGAACAATTTTATAGCCACAGCACATGATACAGTGTCTCCTGGGTTGCCCGCAGAGAAATGGATGTTCCACCAGCGTGGGGCTCACCTTGGAGGTGTGGGGAAGTCCATAGTACTCCTGCACGACGTTGCGGCGGTAAGCATCCAAGGCAGCCAGCTGGCAAGCACTCAGCGAAGCCACTGCTGCCATGTATAGCACGTGTGCGGATGCGGCTGCATTGTAGACTCA